AAATAAGCGATAATGTGATGGTTTAAATTGAGGGTTTTAAATATTTATAATCATTCATACAAAAAGACGGGAGTTTTGGCATGGATGTAATACATAAGATCAAATTCAGTTGAATGAAATAGAGAGAATTGTCGAGCGTTTTATGTAATAAGAGAATTCCAATAATATTGTACAGGGTATAATTAGATAAATTATACTTTATGATTTGGAGTGTTAGATAGTTGAAGGACAATATAGTAGAATATGAATGTTGCGGAAATGAGAATGCTTAGATGGATGATTGCAATTACAAGATAGAATAGGAAACGATTATGTGAGAGATAGTTTTGGTGTAGCGCCTATAATGAACAAGATGAGAAAAATAGATCGAGATGGTTTGGACGTGTGATGAAACGAGAGGAAACAAATGCAGTAAGAGTTGTTATGAAATTGAAAGTTGAAGGGAAAAGAGGAAGACAAAAAAAGAAATAGTTGGATATGATTGAGAATGATATGAGGGCTAAATGTTGGTGTGTGCGTAGGGGTTATAGAAAATCGAGACGAGTAGAGGTTTAGGACAAGGGTGGCCGACCCCAAATATTTTGGAAAAGATGAAGATAATTTATCAGTATCTTTAGATTTCGACTCGTTTTTATTCACATAGATAATAAAAATTAATATTATCAACACATGGTCTCACAAAGGGAGTGTATAGTAAGGAAAATAGCGTCACGAAAAATTTTTTTTTTTAGTTATTCATATGAATACATTTATATGTAACAATGTAACAATAAATGCAGTTTTCTCATGGAGATATTTTCATGCATTCCTACGTTTAACGATTAACTGAAATCACAACCCCATTAGGAAATAACAAGAATATTAGACAAACAATATGTATACCTATATAATTAAATATTATAATATTATATTTATTTATATTATAATATTAATTCCGTGTTCCGTGTCTAAAGTGATTGTTGCAGAGTGCCTGCATCTTTTTTTCATTTCCGTTCTCTAAATATTCCTCTCGATTCCTACCACATTCTTACTTCTCAATCCCACCATGTTATCCTTGCTACTATTACTTTTGTCCTTAATTCTGAGCTGCTTATATAAATTACTATATTTATATAAAGTATATTTATTTAATTATTTATAATTGTCAAGAATAATTGTTTACACAAAGTTTCAATAAAAAAAAAAAAAAAAAACCGATTGTTCATTGTTTTCTCTCGATTCCAGCGTGTCACATGTCAACCGTCTGCTGCCGTTGCCGCCAATCGCTGCGATAGCGCTGCGCCCGGTCACCAAATTCCTCGCCATGATATTGGGGATCCGCATACGCCGTTGGTGGTCGAAATTGAGCGACAAGGAGAAGCGACGGTTCTGGCGAAACGTGCGCAGGCGCCGGAGGCAGATAACGGCGGCTGCGGCCGGTCTGGCGGGTCTGTTTGCCGCTTACTGCGCGGCGCACATGGAACTTGACCCGATCACCGGGCAACGGCGGCTGATCGTGTTCACGCAGGCGCAAATGGTCGAGCTGGCCAACGCGATCGCGCGCGAGCTGCTGGACGAGAACCGGCACGCGGTGTACAACCGCTCGCATCCATACTACAGGCGGGCCGCGTCCATCGCCTCGCGCGTGGTGGACGCGAATAAGCCGTACGACCGCGTGCCGGATCGCGAATGGTCGCTGGTGGTGGTCAACGACCCGCGCATCAACGCCATGGTGCTGCCCAACGGCATGATGATCGTGTTCTCCGGGCTGCTGGCCACGGCCAACGACCAGCAGGTGGCCGTGGTGCTGTCGCATGAGATCGCGCACTGCCTGCTCGACCATCATGCGGTCCGGCTGAGCCGCGAGCACGTGCTCGAGATGCTGTGGCTGATACCGCTGACCGCGATGTGGGCGATGCTGCCTGTGCCCGAGGCCATACTCGGCTACTTGTTCGGCCATTACTTCAAGAGCGTGGTCATGCTGTTGCCGTACGAGCGGGACCAGGAGACCGAAGCCGACAAGTACGGTCTCATGTTGGCGGCAAACGCGTGCGTGGACGTGCGCCAGGCGCCGTTGTTCTGGAAGAAGATGGAGAAGTTCGATCCGGGCAACGAGCACAGCGTGCGGTGGCTGTCCACGCACCCGCCGCACAGCGAACGCGTGCAGTACATCGAGAGCCTACTGCCGCACGCGTTGCAGCTAAGACAGCAAAACGGATGTCCGCCCTTGGACCCCGGTTACTGGTCGAGGTTCTCGTTCTTTTGACCGCGCACGCGCAGTTGTCGCTATCATCATCAAAGCTGTCCCCCCGTAGTTAGCTGGTTGATTGCGATCCGCGGTCTGACAAAAATTTATGTTTGCATAGAAACAAGTTGTTTCAAACAACGGCCATCGTGTGAATCTTTTATCGAATAAATATGTCGAATATATATATCGAATAAATATGCTTACATATTTCACATTTGGTATGTTACGAGCGTAATAGTGTATAAGTGGGTGCTGTACACGTTATACGTGTTACAACAGTACGGTAAATGTGTTTGAAATCGTCATTAGCCGTTTGCGCTACTCGATTGCTATGATATTGTATGATTTTATATCACTACATTTGTTCTTTGTGAACGCAAAATGTTATTGTTGTAGTGGTTCGACTAAATAATTTTATTAAATGTTGATGAAACCGACAAAAGTTGTCTTTTAATAACTCGTCCATTTGTTACGTGATCCAAATCACTTTCCAGCAGTCAACGAAGATTTGTTCTACAACAAAATATCTTGAGTAACTTTTATAAGATGTATAATTTATTGTAGCATTGTACAATAAGTGCAATTGCTTACCATCCCGTGACTAGAACAAATCTAATTTCTTGTCCAATTGGATCTTCTTTCGTATATCCTTGTTATTAGCGTTTTACGTGCCATCAGCTCGATTTTAAATTGAGCAGTCGAAGATGTATTTAATTTTAATTAACACGTTAGCTGCCACAAGACCGCCGGCGACCTAACTCAGGTATATTATCATGAAGCCATTTAGGTTGCGCGTGACCTAAATTGAATTATTTTTCCTACGCCACTTAAGGCGCCGGGTGTTCAAATGACCTATTATATTTAATGTAAAATTATTTTTTATGGCCTAGAGCTAAGGACTCAAGAATTACACCATGGCATAGAGGAGAAAAAAAAGAATATTTTAAAAAAAAATCAATAAAAATCCGACAAATTTTACATACTTTAAGTTTATTTTAAATTTATGAAAAAAAAATAAACAATTTTATAACAGTGTAGTCTTTTACTCACAAATACTATAAAAATAAAATAGTTATACTTCTGATTGGAAAAAAAAAATATTAATATTTTTAAGTTATAAATTTGTGTTAAAAATGTTGAAAAAAAAAATGTTTGTACTTTTGAAAAGAAAATATATCAATACTTTTAGATAAAAAAAATTTTCGTTTCTGTTAGTTATTCATATGGTCTGGAAAACACGATAAACAAATGAAAGGCTGAGATGGACATATGATGCAAAACGTAGTGACTTTCTTCGCCTTATTTAACGCTTCTCTAAAACATTATACACATTTTTTAATAGATTTTAAGTCATTAAATTAAACAAAAATATGCATTACCTAAATCCATTTTCCTTTGCTATTTTTTTATAACATTCCGTACATCTTCTTCTAATTTTTCGATTCCTCGGGTACTTTTCTTCCGTTACTTCGAGTTTATGTTTAGGAGCAGATCTTCTTTGATTCCCACTAGTACTCGGAGTAGAAATATTCAAGTTTGTACTCTGGACTAATTTTCTACTGGTCGGTCTTAAGTTTAGTATTTTATCAATTAATGATTCTCGAAATTGTTTTACAGTCAGTTTTGAATTTGAATGTTTCATGTTGTATAATATTTTAGTACTTATAACACAAGTATTAAGTAAGATTTCAGTCATAACTTTATGATACCAGCGAATACTTTTTCTGACTGGTGTAGAATACGATGCTAATTGATCAGAAAGATCAATACCAGCTTTGCCTGCATTATAATATAATATTACTTCAGGCTTCAAAATACTTTCCTTTCTTCGATTTTTCTTTCCCGTATCTACGATATTCAATTTATGTCGAGTAGATAATAAAATTATATCTCTTTTGTCTTAGAATTTTAACACGACAACTCCATCCTTGTTTTCTTGACCAATTATTTCTCCCTTTTTAAGTTTTTGTGTTGTCACTTTTTTTTGTAAGTAACGACGATTTTTTCTTAACGTTCCAACAAGATGAGTTTTTTTTGATAAAAGTTTTTTAGCAAGTGGAACAGATGTATAAAAGTTATCAGTTACAATTGTTCTAGCATTATCTAAATATTTTTCACATAATGATAATACAATCGTTTCACCTAAAGCTTGACCAGCAATAGACTGATTTCCCTCATAAATAATTATTTTGTACGTGAAACCGTTTACACCACAAACTTTAAATAGTTTTACACCATACCGATGACGTTTGCTCGGAATATATTGTCGAAAATGTAATCTTCCTCTAAAGAGAATCATAGATTCGTCTACAGCAATTACTTCTCCGGATGTTTGAAGATTTTCAAAATTAGAATTAATTTTATCAACAATATTTCTTATTTTGTATAAACGATCCGATTTATCACTTGTTTCATTATCCGAAAAATGCAAAAAACGTTATATTAATTCAAACTTGTTTCTGCTCATCACTTTTGGAGCTACTATATTTGCATACCTATCAGCTTTAATCCAATAATCCGAAATAGATGGATATTTGACAATCCCCATCCAAAGTAATAATCCAAAAAATTTCATCATTATGTCTGATGTGACTAGCTCCCATTTCTTATATCGACTTGTACGAGAAATCCTATTGCTTTTTAAATATTGTTCTGCATTTTTATTTGTTTCTAAGACTATGCACTCTAATATATCAGCAGTAAAAAATAATTTATAATAGTCTAATGGTTCAAAATTTGGTTGTAACTGAACGGGTAACATAGTATTATGTTGATATGTAAAATGTTTTTGATGATTACCTGTCACCGGGTATCAGTTAGAAGTAATATCATCGTTATTTTCAAGTTGAGCGGGAGAGACATTAGATAATTCACTTGATGATGATGTATCTGATTCATAGGATTCATCATTAGTTATTACAACATCGCCATCACTGTTAGACTCACTCGCCGAGATTGAAAAATCTGAAGCACTGAGTGCTTCTTCGATTTGTACATCATCCATTTTTATATTAAATAATAATTTCAAACTTCACGTCACGTCTAAGTTAAATTTACCATAAATTATTGAAAAACACTGAATAAACATGTATACAAAATATTAAGGAAAAGAAATGGTTAGGTACGTACACGAAAACTATACGTAAACGTCGTTTACGAGCACGCGTCTATCACATTACTAAATGTACGATTAGTCGATAGAAAAATAACAAGACTGCCGGCAACCCAAATGGCGTCTTACAAATATTGAATTATTACTACGCCACTTGTCCGCCGGCGACCCAACTATTTTTATATTATTATCGTAATATTGATGTATAGTAGATTATGAAATTGTCATTGGAATTTCCTTATGACTTTCCAATCCCAAAATAAACATAGGAACATCACAGTAATGCAACAGCATTTCTCCCATGGCTCGACAATAACGTATCAGTGTTAGGTCGCCGGCTGCCTTGTGGCAGTCAACGTGTTAATTAGATATGAGACTTTAACTTTTTAATACAATTAATACGTTTATTTTATAATTCAAAGTGTTTAACAAAATTCTGATACTGAGTGACGTGAAATTGCTTTTAGTTCCGAGACTAGAACTTATCTGAATTGTGGTTGTTTCGGTCCCTCTTTTATATTACTCGATTAACGTCATTGAACTTGTTGTTTTGGGATTTCCAGGAAATGTAGGCTCATGTTTCATGGACTTAGCCCCGTTATTTTGTGCGTAATTGCCCTTGTAATACCCACATTTGTAATTCCCAGTATTCCTGATTAATTCGTACATTCTTATTACACAGTTTTTCTTGATGCAGCATATAAATTATTATAATAAAAGAATATAATGTTACATTGTCATTACCCGTATTTAAATATATCAATTATTACATGATATTTATTATATACTATATGATATACGGAAGCCCATAACAAGCGATAGACATGGTTCATATTTATTTACGTGGTATTTTGCACCTAATAGCATTTTTTAACATATTTTGCACCTATGTCACAATATTTCGATTTCGTTAAATGCACCGAAAATGCACTATCGGAATAAATGTTCTTAGAAATAAAAATAAATAAATAAAATATTTAGAGTCTAAAAGTTATATCTGACAATTGGTTTTCGGTTTTTTTTTCTTATCGATTTAGACGGTAATGATAATAAATAATTATGTGTATATGTATGTCTGTGAATAATAAACTACCGATCGTATACATGCATGTTCGTTAAAACTAGAAAAATGTGCTGTCCAGATTTCAGATTTTGTATTTTACATGAACATTGGGCATTATTCGAACAACACAGAAGAAAATAAATCTTCGGGATTTCTTATTAAACACGGTTTCTTAAAACCTTTTTTATTTTGTATTCAGTTTGATCGCCCATGTAGATAGTATTTCTTAGAAACACACCCATGTCAATTGTGTATAACATTATTTATAGTGGTGCTGTCCCGGTATCTTCGCGGATTATAATAGCTGTTAAAAGCTTATGCTTGTAAAATGTATTCCCATACGTGCACGTGCAGTAGTTGTTATATTTATATTGATTCTTTTATTCATACTGAAACCTGTTTGGTATTCTTAATTTTACGATTTTATTTAATGGATTTTGGGTGCCTTTTGAAGGGTGTGTCTTTGGAATGTTATAGTCTCGAAAAGACCGACGCCATAAGATTTATTATAATCAGTGAAGATCAAAGACGGGACCCTGCTGTCTAGCTGTTTTTTTTTGTTGTAGTCCCTCTGACAACAATGTGTAGTATCCCCTAAGGTATAAGAATGTATTTATTTACGAGTTGTATATGTATACGTATATATACATACATACAAGTATATATTATCATTATTATTTTTATATATATATATTATTTTCAGATATCTTAAAAACAAATCACAGTACCGTATCCATTGAGTATTGAGCATGCAGTAATTGGTTGAATTCGGTATTATATAGAATCTCGAACCTCAAATAGGATATGTATAAAATTGATATAAACTTTAATTTGAATGTACCTTAATCAATGCGTTTATTATAATATCAATGTTGATTGTTGAAAACTCGTTAACATTTTTGACAAGTTGTTCATCTTACTGGGTTTTCTTTATTTTTATTTATTTGTTCTCAGATAGAAATCTTTTACAATTCTCATTATTATATTCAAATTATTATAAAACTTATGTATTATTTTGTAGACATATTACATAATTGTAAAATTATAATTGTACTAAATGTAATAATCATATCAAATTGTAAGCGATTAATATTTAAGCATAATTATTGTATCAAATAATAATAATTGTAAAAGATTTCTATCTGAAGACAGAAATCATACTTTTTGCGCAGTGGTGTTACGGACACACATAAATATAGATCCTTACGACTATCATTACCTAGGGAGACCACATATATAATATAAATAATAATTTACGTGATAGTGATAGACAAAAGAAGTCCATTAATAATAAAAAGCATTTATAAAACATGATATAATATAGTATGAAATAATATAAAACATGTGCAAAAGTAATATTAACGAGATCAACTATTAAAGTAGACAAGTACACTTTTAACAAACCCGGTATCTATTAATCGTAAATTGGAAATATCTATTATATTAAAATATTAATTGAAACTATTGACGATGTCTTTTCAAGAAATTCATGGTGCCACACAATAGATTTTCCACGGGATCTGAGTATATAAGGGGGTTTCTAACAGACCTATATTGAGATGTGTTTAGTCCGATAAACAGCAAGCACCTTCACATTACTCAGTTTAATATCATATTTTACTTAGAATTTTTCACTTTAATAAAAGTTTAACTAAAATTTGATTATTATTATTTATATCCTAATTCCCATCCTTCGTCAGAACTGTTACTCTGACGGCCCACAACAATATTTTAAACAGTAACGGGTCACGTGTTCGAAAGTCATATGTTCGAAAAAAATATAAATATTTAAAAAGAAATTACCCCGATTGCACTAATATGAAATAATATTACAATATACATTTTATTTCATTGCTATACACTTATATACAATATTGTATCTTTTTTGATAATTTGTACTACATATTTTTGTCTTTCATAGCATACTCAGTTACATCTACACACTATACATACATCGTACATACCTACCAAGTAATTTTCAGATATGATACTATAGGTACCCCCATATATATAATATATATTATATTTTTATTGTAGTGATGAACGTAATCGAGATATCTCGATTATGAAACCATCTTTATATAAATATGATTTTAATTTTCAAAAAAAAAAAAAAATTAATACAATTTACTTAAGTAGGTAATAATTAATCAATATAAATCTATATAATTATGGAACATATTATGGACAATACAAAATAATTACCTTAAAGGTGAGTGTAGTAAATCATAGTATATTCAGTAGTGGGAAAAATGAACTACGAATACATTTTATTTGTTAAGTCGTGGTGAATAAGTCAGTGAAAAAGTCCGCGGCAAGGTGGTACGGTGGTAAACCTGTCAACGGCAAAATGACCGGGTTCGGGGTAAGACTATACATTTTATTTATCGTCATGCTGCTAGTGTACAAAGGATGTGTTACAAAGGACAGCTCAGTACTAAATAAAATCTGAAATAGTCTACCTATTTTTATCATCGTTTTCGTTGTATAGTATCCCAACATTATTATTATTTAGCATTATAAAGATGTGATATCATGAATAATTTCTAAGTAAACTAAATTTAAAAAAAAATGTATTCTATCATTATTATAGTAATTCGATCATATCATTATATTATATTTTCTTTATTAATATTCAGGTGTATTTAATGTTTTCTTTTGTATAAATTAAATGTATATTCAGATCCTGACGTACGCATGATACAATGTAAACGTACGTGGATATCGGTTTTATGACAAAGAACGCATAAGATCCAAACATTAATAATTTCTACGCGCTTAGCCCATTAATTTCAAGGTTAGGTTAGTTATATTCAAGGGTTTTATTATTTTTAAAAGGAGCGCACGTTGAATAGTTTTTTTTTTATTTTCTATATTATGTATTTCAATTACATAAACTCAAATATAAGTATAATTGAATGAATATGTTAATCCAAATTTAAATTAATAACAAAAATACTAGTGTATATTAATTACACGTGTTCCACGTGTAATAGGGACCTCTAGTCTGTATACTCAGATTGGCATGCAACAATATACACTGATACAAAATATCACTAGTTTTATTAATAATAGTATTTTGAATTTTGTAAATAATAAATAAATATATTTCTTTCTCTATTGAATACAGATGTAAATTGTTTTTTCAACGACAAAAAAAAAAAAAAAATACTATGTACGAAACACGATTCTCCATCCAAAGATTCTTTTTAATAATCTCCACAGATTAGATTAAACTAATAATCTAATGTTAATACGGTGTTGCGTGCCGGTAATTCAATAGTTTTCTGTTGATGATGATTGGAAAGGTGTTTCAAATAATGAATCAACTTTAAATTAATTACGGTTTATTATATAATATTATTTTTTAGTTTAAAGCATTTATTCGTGAGTCTAATAATTCTAAGTCCAATTAATTTATTCTCATTGCTGTCAACATATTAATTGGCTAATGATATGTAATTCCATACATGTAGTTGTTTTCTGACAATCAAAGACTTGACCTGTGTCTTAATATTACTGTACACCCAACCCGGAAATATTTATTATATATTCTAATATGGTATTATATTATATTGTTGCACATTCACATATTATGTGCATACATATCATAATGTCACGAGCATACATTTTATCACATAATGTTACATATATATATATATATATATATATATATATATATATACTATATCGATTGCATTACATTGTGTATACAATAATACACTAATACAATGATTCCACTATGGCGGGCATGCATAGTGATTACACAGTTAGGAATATAATAACTCTTAACTACAATATAAGGGTGTTACAGTCAATGCATTTATTTACAATGCTTGGATACACATGAGTGGACAATAGTAAATAAATTAAAATAATGACTAACCGAATGGACAATGTATAAAATAATAATCATGTGAATAAATATATTAGAATATATATATGACAAACAATCAGAAGTTACACGCACGATTTATTAAACATATGCTACATCCTTATCTAACAAAGAAAATTCCATATATGAAATTCACATATCAATAACCACATCCGGTGGTGCACACGAGTAAAATGACCAAACGATTAGAAATTCCCATGAGATCGGGGTATATAAGGGGGTCCCGAACAGGCCCTAATGCAGATGTGTCTTAGCCTTGTTAATGCTTGCACATTCATGATAATATAGCAGCTACAATTGACTATAAAAGTAAAAATCAGAAAAAGTTGAGGCCATCTGAAAAAATATACAAATTCAAGGAAATCTTATTCAATAGAATTAATATACCACAATAATAATGTTGCGTGCCAACCGTTTAATCGTTGATTTCATTACTAGTATTCTAGTCAACGCTTGGATGTAGGTATACAGTTGAAATAATAAAAGCCAATTGTGATAAAGTATTTTATTAAAACTGTTAAAATTATTCTAAGTGCAATAAATATAAGTTAGCTATAAGTATTCTAAGTCCTGACAATTAAACTTTATAAAAATAATTCAAAATATTTCCAAGTCCTGACCATGACATACACTAGCGTGAAGGTGCTCAGTGTCGCATAGCTAAAACTCGTCTGATTTGCCCTTGTTGTCGGGTCCCTTTTATATCTAATATATGCAAGTGTGTGTGTGCATATGAAAATTATAGTAAAAAATATAATAATTCTTGTGAAATCTGTATTTGTGAACTATCTCTCGACCACCCCATATTTAATGACACAAATACCCAAGATGTGGTCACTACTATTTTGTTGTCATTCCCTATTGTAATTTCCCATAGAAATAACCATGTGAATATAATAATCTAACTTATCTAAGGGTGTGGTTTTGATTAGCTAAATAATTGTAATAGAATATGTATAACATCCACAGATGTATTCACAGGAACTCCCTTATTATGTGTTATTGTGTGACTATCCGGGACGCCACAATAAATAAAAAATGAATATTGTGTTTAATTATAATAATTTATTAAATGTACCATTTTATTTTGTTAAGATAGGACCCAAAAGTAATGTAGGCACCCCCTGAAATACAAGTCTGCTAACGCCTATGACCAGAGCTCTACTTATAATCGTGCTAATAACTGATAAATAATAACAGATTTTGCTGAAAGTGTGTCATGCCAATAAAATCCATATATTAAATATAGCATTTATGTTAAATTACATTATTGTAAATTCTATGTTTGTATTTTATCAAAAATCATTTTCCCAAATTCTAAAATTATTTGTTTTTTTAAAAAAAATATTAAAAACTTACAGTTTAGTGATGTGCCTTTGACAACTTACCGAAAAAATAATAAAAAAATATATATGTTTTGATTCGAATTAAATGAGACTACCATAACCGACCAGTCAAAATATAATACAAGCAACGTAAAGGAAAATGTTTTGTTAAAGAAATTATAACTTTTTGATTTTATCAAGCACGCACGTGTAGAAGATTATGTTTAGATAAGTAGTAGAAAAATTCTATAACCCGGATACGCCCTGACATTAAGGGTTAATGTTAACTCCAGACAGCATTGCAGTCGTTATCTACTTCTATCTATGTAATAACATAATCTGTAATTCATTAATCATTATGATATATCAAATACCAGATGGTAGAGGCCACAAATATATAATAGAAATCCATTGACCTTTTTTTAATGTATTAACTTAACTGGTTTTCCGTTCATCGGGTCGGAATACGTTTGGACGCATTTTCTTA